CGAGCTATTATAACATTTTTTTTGCGGCGAAATTTACTGTCATATTCGAATGATATTTTCATTCCCTGAAGACAGGGATAAAAGGACATTTTCTAAAAATGAAACCTAGCTAGATCGATTTTTCGCCCCCGAATCAACTATGCCAGGATTTAATAGCAATAATGAATTTTGATATTGAACATCGTCTACCGTTGCTATCAAATTACAGGAACGAGGTCCGTTAATAAATTAAATAAAACCTCCTTACAATCCCATCAAGCTCATCCGCTGTTAACGAGGCGGTCGAAACGTTTTCAAAGACGGCGCTCAGCAGTTGAGTCTTGAATCTTTTAGTGCGTGCCGCTCGGCCGCTTATTAGGATTTCGACGGCGTTGGCGAGCACAGGAAACGTCCTTTAGTACACGACCACGCGCGTTAGTCACACGCGTGGGCCTGCTGCTGATAAAGCTTACGTGAGCGATTTATTTGATTCACTCCAATGTTTACCATAGCTATTGTCCTTATTTGACTCCGCGAAGCCGCTAGTGCGTTCACCTTGCTTTTATTACGGCGGATCGTACAATGTACAATATTTGCATCGCAGCTGATCTTTGGTCTCAGAAGTTTTGATTAATCTGAACTTTAGTTGCAGTCGTAAGCTCATCTCAACATCAGATCATCGAGTGCGATACGATCATATGAAACAAGGGAAATCCTGTCGGCATTTTTGCCGCTGCGGGATTCAAACCTGCGTCTTCTGGTATGTCTCTTCTGGGCGCGAAACCAGAAGACTAAGGTTCAGATCTTTTAATACGAAAAATTACAATTTCACGTAATTTTAAATAATGCAATATATAGGTACGCACTGTTATGTTTAAACGAACCAAACATTACATTTATTATACATGCATAATAGATAAGTTTTTACGTGGGAAGCCAAAATATGTTCTAGTTATTACGCTCAAAGACGTGTCTACAGTCTTATTTCCTTCCTTGAGTCATTCATAAAAAATGGTTAGATTTTATCTCATCAGTTATGATCTAAGTAAAGTGAATTATAAACTTTATTATTTGGTAAGTAGATCAAGAGCTGTGATAGCTCAGTGTCCGGGCGTTCGCCTTAAATTCAATATACTAGAGCAACCTGAGTCCGATCCTCGGTGCCGGCACTAATGAAATTGTTAATTTTAACTGCTGACTTATCACGTGCTCAGCGATGAAGGAAAACATCGTGAGGAAAACTGCATATTTTCAAAATAATAACAAAAAAAAATATTTCAAAGGTATATGTGAAGTCCACCAATCCGAAGTGTGACCGCGTCGTGAACTATGCCCCGACATCCTCTGTACAGAGGAGGGCTTCACCCAGCAGTGGTCCATGTACAGGCTGTTACTTTTAGTATATCTTTCACATAACTGCACCATTTCAAACATGATTCTTTTTTCTACGCGTAATTGTCCCATATTTTACGAAAAAAAAAAAACTTCACAACTTCCTCAAACAAATTTCCATACAAATGACGTTTTGCAAGAAGTAAAGTCGTAGTGAAGTGTACTAGTATAACAATGAAGAGTTTTTATTCCACTTTTAATTGCGGAGGCTAAAAATAAACGAACCTATTGATGAGTCACGTCAATAATGTCAAGTTTTAAGTACGTTTACGAGTATCAAATTGTCTCTTCCCTAAGTATTATTTCTGTGTACTCAAAACTACGGAGATTCACAAATTCGCGAGCTGCATTGTAAATAAGCAATTACCCCTTAAATTACATATTCAAACACGCGTCGACGTTGTGGCACAATAGATTTACTACAAGAGTTCTGGTATCATATGGTTCCACTTGGCCCTAGTGCCATTAGTTTTTAACACACAGTTTTAACACTTCGTGAAGTAAACGGAAACACGCCCTCGAAAAGCTTAGATTTTTTTTTATTATGTGAGAAGGAGGCAAACTAGCTGGCGGTTCACCTGATGTTAAGTGATAACCGCCGCCCATTGACATTTGCAACACTCGTAGGTTTACAGATGCGTTGCCACCATTTGATAAACTGGGCTCCGGCTACCTCACTCACCAGACGAAACGCAGAAGTATAAAACTTCCACTTAACGCCGGTCTTCTGTGAGGTCGTGGTACTTACCCGAACGGAAATGCCCGTTCGTGCAACAGCGTAGACTGTTGCGCGGCCTGCTACCGTAGCACCGTAGATGCGCCAATTTTAATAAAAGTAGAATATTTGCCGGTAGGTGCTCTTATTTTATCAAAAACACATACAAGCTCTATCAGATTAGAGAAATTTAAATATATGCATTATTCTTCAAAGATCTTCTCAACAAGATTGAGCGCCTATCCAACAACTGCGTCAGATACGTTTTTCGCCTTTGAAAATTTTGATCATGTCACTGCCTATAGCTCTCGATTTAAATGGGGGGTTACAGTTAAACAAAGGCGCAGCTCTAGAATTATGTTTGTGCTGTTTTAGATTTTAACCGATTCAGTTTCTCCGTCCTATCTTAAAGATAAATTAAAAAAACCTCTCTCTAAACAATGAAAGAGACCTCCGTTCCTCATCTAACCTTAAAATTTCTATTCCTCCACATAATACTAGTTTCTACGGTAACTCTTTCAACGATCAGGATGCACTACTTTGAAACTCCTTGCCTGAAGACATACATACGACATAACAAGGACATATTCAAAAGTATGGTCAGCAACCTGTACTTAACATCTGTATGTTAAATGTTATCGCTATTTATGGTTCTATATTTTTATATTATATTATATATGCATGTTAGTATTTATATTTATTTAAACGTTTGTATAAACCATGTACAATATATTATTCAAATAAATAATTGAACTTCATACCACTAGCACTGCACCTACCACAGATTATTTAGCCATGTATTGACTGGGAGAGAATGCTAAAAGGTAATAAGTTCGGCCTTTGTAATCCTTGTTTAAGGTAATTTCAATAAAGTATAAATAAATATATTCTCAAATTCAAGTTAAAATTTTCTGTACAAAATACTTTGAAATTTGTTATTCATACTACTTACGTGTAAAACATTCAATGATTCTAATATAATTTTATAGATAGTTTAAACTAGGAGGAAATTCTTGTACAGACAATACAATATTCAATCGTAAAGCAGGTAGAGGATTATTAGCATACAAACAGCGCAATAGAATTTATATAGCGGCTATTTTGGCGGTATTTTAGGCGCCATGTATTAATACCAAAGCATAATCATTACGTATGGTCAACGACCTTGCGCACGCAAATTTACACGAAAGACTATATATATTAACTATATATACTATTTATGTAATATAAAGACTTTATGTACTATATATATATATTGACCATAAGAATACATAGGGACTAATAAAAATACATTGAAATGGTTAGCAAAACATTTCCAATAATTTATACAATAACAAATACTCGGGCAAAGTCAACGTACCAGCCATTGAATACGCATATAACACGCATATAGAAAAATATGCTAAAAGGGAAACTAGACAATGGGAAGACGTTGTACATTAAATTTTTCGTTTGAGGAAACCCAACCGCTCATTGAACTTTACTGTGGACTAGTTTAATTAAACATACTTTATTTATTACACTGAATTTAATCATGCTCTAAACTGTATTACGAAAATCAAAGATCTTAATGCCATTGTGATATCAGACTGCTAAGTTTCCCCTTGACTTTTTTCTTTTTTTTGTGACTTTTTCAATGAAAACTTTTGCAACTTATCAATGTAAGGAATTTTTTCCCCACAAAAGACCTTATCTACATGTAAACCCAATAAAATAAGTCAAACTGATAGTCAATAAATAAGCAATCTAGATCATCTAAAGATCAAACACTACACCCACGTAATCAGATAGTCTGCTGTACCAAATATAATATGTTAATTTTAACATGCTATGCAAAGTTATTGACATAGATGCATTTCAAATATACACAATTAATTTTGTGTTGCTAAATAAAGAGCTCTTGCTTCATTTTAGTAGCGATCTAGATTTGTTTAAATATGGTCAAATTGCAAATCCATAAATCAATTAGCATCGCTTGAACGAGATAGTCGATTATGTATACGGAAAAATAAAAATATGTATTCCGATCAAGTATGCATTGTGGCGGTAGCTCGTTTGAATTTAAATTAACATTTTATGGTTGTCATTTGTTCACGACGATGTTCTGCGTAAAGTATCGCTTACGTATTTGGCGAATACATTTTTTCAACCAAGGTATTAGCTGTTAAATCGCAGTTGAATCGCTGGACGAATCTCGCGATATTAGTCACTGTGCAGTGTGGCGTGTCGTGAATAACGCCTTTTTTTCGGTAGCCGCTTACTGCTGACTTGTTTTGAATTAATTTAGACAATTAACGCACTCTACGGCGGTAGGTTGTGTTAATTAAAATCCGGTTGCAAATATGGATTTACTACGTTGTGATCTTTGTACCGTAAGTCTCCCTGTTGTACCTAATTGTTCAAATTCAAACACCCAAAAAGTTTAAGTCCTATTGTTTTGACTTTTTTTCGTAAACTTACGTTACATATGTAAGTTTTCGAACTTACCTAGCCTATGAATTGTGCTGTGATTAGAATTGTAGAATGCAAATATTGTATTTGCATATTGAATTAGAATTATTTCTTAAATAGACGCCTTCTGTTGTTTTACTTTGTTTTAGCGTTTAATTCTAGTCACAGATTACTCTTTGAATGGTGGCTCCGTATGCATAAATAATTGACATGTGTTAAACAATTTACGAATTTCTAATGAATTGTTCATATTTTATTTAATTTTTTAGCGTAGTAGTCACAAAGTTTATAGAAAACATTTTGCGAATGTCAATAATTTTATATTCCTTACAGCTTGTGAAGAGACAATATTTTCTTTGCTAAATGACCAATAAATCTACAATCAACAAGTTCTAAAAAATCAAATATAACTGCATTTTTTTCGCTTGCACAATGTATTAGTAAATTCGATTTTTTTTTTCAGATTCTTTGGACGGCGTTGTCTCTCGCACTGGGCTATGAACTTCAAGGTCAAATTATTAGAGGCGTGCCATGTGTCAAACGAAACTTTCAACTTTACTGTCCCACCGCTGGCAATACTTATCCTATGTAAGTTTTACAATTCACTTTTCTTATACCACATAATATTATGTATAGACACGGTTCCGTCTTATTATTAAGAATAAATTTTAAGAACTATGCCGTTTCATTACACGTAAAATTCTACACTATATAAGATGTAGACATCTTTCTTCCTTTATGTTTTCCTGACAGCCGCAGGATGTTGGTATGATGATGTTTATCTAGTTTATCTATTTATGTAGTTATATATGAACGTATGAATATATTTATGCACATTTGTACATATGTATGCATGGCCAATATTTTGGTATACTCTACAGCCTCAATATTTTAACCGATTTCAACATATGAGATGTTATTAGGTTTCCATGGTGCGGGTGATATATGGTATATTAAAATATGGTGTCTGCGATTAAAATAATCATAATAGTTGGAATAATTGGAATAATAGTTATTATTTTATCGCAGTCTAGTTTGTTCAGGTTTGTTCAGGTTTGTTTTCTTTAATAATATACGCTTATTGAAAAGGAGGCACACCATCGTAACATCAAATGAAGTATAGTGGCTCTGTTTTATACGAGTATTCTCATATAAAAAGATCAACTACTTATACGCTTTCAAAAGTAACAAATTTTCAGTGCTTACGTTTATATAATGCAGTATATAATGCAGGGGCATTATATAATAGCGGACCGGACAGACGTTATCCTGTAAACACGTCTTAAATTCGAAAATTTGTGGATCTAAACCATTCTCGAATCCACCTGAACACACACAAAAAAATTCATTAAAATCTGTCCAACCGTTTAGGAGTTCAGTGACATACACACGTACAGAAGAATTGTATATATAATGATATGACTATTATATTTCACATTTTTCTTCTCATTTCAGAGACAAGATAGAAATGTTCATAGACGAGAACAAAGCGTTGATAAAACGCATGTACGGTTCCTTTTCCATACCAGGAGGCGGCAGAGTTCGGAGGGCGCCAGGGGTGCCGGACATGCACTCCGGAGATTCCTACTTCCGCCACGTGAGGCAGGCCTCGAAATCCGCGCTACCCGATCCCCAGGTCAATAGCACAGGCAGGTAAGTTGGAAGTGTCAGCAAATTCCACCTTCAAATGTTAAACAATTTGTCGATTAGTACCGATTTTTATATTTCCCCAAAACAACTGTTCACGGTTAAATAAAAAAAATTACTGCGTTCATCGCTACGGTTCAGTCGCGGTATAACTTATACAGCCGGTCTTTACCATCGCGACAATAAATGAACACACATATAGAGGATAACTTTTTAAAATTGTATTAAACATTTACATTCTTTAAACATCAATATCTACCGAGTTATTAAATTTTCCAAAACAAAGAATTTTAGAACACCCTTACGTATAAAACTGTAACGTAAAGTTCATTTGTAAAGGTCACAAAGCATATGAATGGGTTGAATGTATTTAAAAGAGACAAAACATACTGTTAGAAGGAGAGGCTTGTATTGCGACGCTGTGGCGCGAGTTGTATAGGATATTACAAATTTTGTTTCTTTTTTACTTAATTAGTTTGTTTGAAAAATATTTTTTTTAATTATGGATTTTTTTACCGATAATTTTTTGATATGATTATTGGCAAGTAGCGTTAGACTTGTGTTCATTTATTGTCGCGGTGGTAAAGACAGGATGTATATCGGTTTTATTTAAGCGTGTGTAGTATTCGCGCACTTTTTCATTTAACATTGGATATCCAAAAGAATGAATTAATTAAGTACTAGAAATAAACCCATTAATTTTGATCTTTTGGCTGTAGCACTTACAAGGGGGCCTATGAGTTACAGAGTAGTAAGCCATCTTTTAAAATGCTTAAGTTCCCTTCCTTTTGTCCAAGTTAATAGATATAGATCCTCAAATCATATTCGACAAGAACTACAGTTTCAATATTATTTATTTCAGGGTAGACGCGTGTCAGAGCAAGACGGAAATAATAACTCCATATTGGGCTCTCAATTCAGCGAAGAAAGTCAGAGCTATTGTGAATACTATGCACTTTGAACAGGCTATTCATCAAGAAGTGTGCAGGTAATTATTAGCATTGTACTATTCTAGTTTTAATATGCAGAACAGCTACTGCACAGCAGAAGACAGGCGTAAAATAAGAGTATAATATGTAATTATTCATTTCTTCCGGCAAGTGAGGTTAGAATACAATACAAGTCTCTCAGTGGTTGACAGCACTGCTGTAACTTCCCTGGTGTTGAAAGGTCCTCACCTACCGTTATTTAAAATAATAGGATAAGATCAGCCCTCTTGAATTAATAAATAAGGAAAAGCTTCTAATATTTTACAGGAATAAATTTAAAGTATTTTAAAGTTTTTTTTTGTTTTAAGTGGGAACTATTAAAATTCTAATCTAAACATCTATACAGATAAATAAAGTTGGGCTGTCTGCTTATAATATTAAAATAACCGCTTTTTTTTTATTATTACCAAAATAACATTTTTTATAATTTTTATCTGTCTGTCTGTCTGTCTGTTTGTTCCGGCTAATCTCTAAAACGGCTGGACCGATTTTGATGGAACTTTCACTGGCAGATAGCTGATGTAATAAGGAGTAACTTAGGCTACTTTTTATTATAGAAATTTTAGTTATTTTCAATTCCACCAGATGAAGTCCCGGGTACAGCTAGTGATCATTTAAATTCGACGACATTATTGGTTAACCGATTAATCCCATTTTAAGTTATCCGGATTACACGTAACATTAAACATTAATGTAGCGATTACCATGCCACAGCACGATAATAAATATCTAGCAGTTGAAGTAATGCTTTTAAGCTAGCTAAAAGTAATACATTCATATTGTGTCATCTAAATTGTGAAGCAATTAAAATTATTCTCTAGTAAGTCGGAGTGGCTACTTGGAATGCATAAGTTTTGGTCACCAGTATCAGACGGGGCGTGGTGAAGGAGGCGAAACTAGTTTTTGGTCCTATTTCATGGCGTGGGCGAGAGGATCCAGACTGACCAGTTGTGTAGATAAATATGGTCCACTAAGAAACTGACAATCCACTTATCTGAAACTCTGCTACGAAATTCGTTAGATACGAGTAGATTCTTGTCTCTTTATCAATAATGAAGTGTACGTATATTGAATATAAAAAAATAAGAATTAGGATTTAATTAGAAGAGGTGGTAATATTGATTTAATATTATGATATAAATACGAAAGTATATTTAAGTGATGATACATAGTTTGTGGTACTATTAATAACTATGTACAGAGGAGGTCTCCACCACGCAATTGTTTGTTACTACTAATTACAAAAAAAGATATATTATCTGTATATCGTTGGCATTACCCCACAATTATTCTCACTATAATGTTACAAAACAAAGACAATAAAGTGTATTCTTATTTTTCAGTAAAAAGTCAACATCGCGGTGCTCTGGTGATTGCAGTTGCGAGCAGAAATACAAATGGCATAGATTACTTGCGTACGACCCCAGCAATGATTGCGCGGGAATATTCATGGATTGGTTTTTATTTCCATCGTGTTGCGTGTGCCAATGCGATCCCTAAATGATTATAATGAATAGATAATGTAACTTAATTGCGCTGTTTCAAGTTTAAAGTCAATTGTGTTTTAAATAAATTGATGCTGTTTATTAAACGATCTGTAATAAAAATATTATGAAATTACATGATACAAGACCTGAGAGAATGGATAAGTATCAGCAAAAATAAAAAAAGTAATATTGTGTGCGTAATCTTATAATTTGGATAAGTATATATAATATAAATTAATTTGTTGTATATTTAATAATTGACTTATGTGATATTTACTTATGGTATAAACGTATGGTATTTCCTATGAACCTTTACGTAATTACTTCCTCATATATTTAGAGTCTGTTACCTATAAATGACTACTAATACCGGCTTTAAACAATAGAAAATTTACTTCTTATTAAATCAAATAGGTACTGCCATTTTAAATACACTATGAATAAATTAGGCTATAATTAAAATGTACTTTATTAGGAATATCTGTTCTAAAAAGATGTTTAGGAAAGCCATACAGGTAACCTATGTCAGAAATTAACGACCTCTATTTACATATCTGATCATATCATAAAATCTGTTATTTGAATACTCGCGCAAAAGAAAAAAGACGACAGATTTATAAATAGGTACTGGTGAAATTTAATTTCTAGGTAAAGTAAAACACTAGTTTAATATAGCCATGAAGTCTATTTTGACGCACGTAATAAATAATAAGTACATTTTTGAGCTGAATTGTGTATTTTCTTAAAAATAAAATATACCCAAGTTTTATTTTTAGGAAAGTAAATATTGTAATATCTCGTTTGTATTGATTGATGCTTGATGATGGAAACATTCTAGTTACTTTTATATTTTTTCCTATATGAAACTAATTTAAGAACATTATATGAATTTGATATACCTACCTACTCTTGTTTTTATTTATGTAGTTTAATGAAACTTATTTATGAAAAAAAAACTTATTAATGAATAACAATATAGAGAATAAATATTATTCTATACAGTGAAGATTGCACATGTGATAAACAAAATAATATTAAAAAAAAACTTTTTTAAACACGCTTTTATTGTGTTCTTCTTAAAAAAAAATTAAAAATAACAATTTAAAACTACTTGATAAGAAAAATATCATGATATAGGTACCTACGTTGCAACTTTTAACGATAATTAAACATATTCGTCTATGTCACAATAATCCCATATCGTAAGTAGGTACATACCCTATTAGACATTTTTATTACACCCCAAAAACTTTACACCTTGTATGAAATCTTTGCGTTCTTGCCTCATACCCAAATAAAAAAATCATGAAGGTGTAATTATGATAAATGTTCTTTAATGTTCCATCAGGGTTGCGTCGTATCTTTACTGAGTTCCTATGACAACTTTCCAGCTCCATCATCAGATAAGCACTGTGTCATCATAATATTGCATAGTTCCGCGATTTACACATGTATGTAAAATTTCAGCAGGCAACTGGGAAGTGGATCAAATTTAATTTGCAAGATTTGATGACAAACATCGGGACAGGTGAAACTAAATAAAAGCTTGTAAAAATGAAAACTAGACATTATGAACGACATAAAATTGCAAACAACCTACCTGCATCCTTACTACCACATGATACTCATTACACCATTCACGGCTGTGAATGTATAAGCACTTAAAATAACAATTTGATTGAGGTTCCGGCACCGGGTATCGATTTCTGGTTGCTCGAGAATATGGAATAAAAAGCGAGTGCCCAGACATTGAGCTACCACGGCTCAAAATGGACTCTATGAATTTTTATTACTATCGCTATCCTAATATTACTGTCGTTGATCGATTTTCTAAACTACCTTGACGTCAGATGACAACATCTGCCACGGTTCCTGTTCAAAGTGTAATTCATAAAATATAACTAAAATAATTCCAAGGGAGCGGGACAACATAGAATTACCATAAACAACCACCGAAACTTTAAAAACCGATAATACTTTATTTTGCCGCGGAACTAAAGTTGAGTGCACAAATTTTTAATTTCATGGGAAATGGAAAAAGTTTCTTGGATCTAACAATAACACAGATTGTTTTTTTTTGTGTAAATGTTGCTTGCTAATTTTTGTTCTCCGATCGGATACGAAAGATTCATAAATAGTTTAATACTAGGAAACTTGCGAAATCTTTATCGTCTGAAGAATTTTCTCCCTTTTAAGACTTAATTCGTAGTCATCATCATATGTAGATGCTTGTTACCCTAACTTGAACAAAGACTTTCTTAACAGGCTAGAGTACATAATCAATAACTGTATTACATACATTTTCGGCCTTCGTAAGTATTATCATGTACCCTATTGTTCTCGTCCTAAATGGCTTACACTTAAACAAAGGCAGAAACCTGCTTGTGCTTTTCTCGATTTTAAACGATCCAGCATCTCTGTCTTATCGGAAAGACAAATTAAAATATCTCGTACTATTTTATTAAGGCAGTGTATGCAGTATAACAGGTTTTTCAGATGTCTTTTAATTTACATACATTTTAAAGCAGCAAAAAAAATATATGTTAATCTTAATCGTACATCCTAATGGGTCATTGTATTAAAAACATGTTCTCTATAAATTTTCTCCATAGAAAAATCATGAAATAACCTTTAGAAGTGAAATAGAGAGAGGGTAGCTCGGTCGGCTGTCGAGTACATGTGTCTCGAATTTAAAAATTGTTTTAAAATATTAAACAGTGCTTTTTAATAAGTGAACACGTATTTTGGACGATAATTTTAGTAGTGTTATTGGACACATTAGTGCATTAAAAGTGAAATAGTTTTAAAGTGCAAAATAGAAATTACACATAGCAAACAGCTGATCATAACAACACAATCAGCTGTTTGATATTGCATCGCTGCAAAACAACAGCAGTGAACAGGGCCTAAATAAACTTATTATTTAAATGTAAGCAAGTTTAACAGTGTAAATAATATACTTGTTTGTAAACATCATTTTAATTATATTTAACAAAAGTACATACAAAACTAAAACACTCCGTGCAGTGACATCTTTTGGACTTGCTATAAACTACAGCTACTTTCCGATAAAATGGCAAATAAGTGTGGCGCCTGCGGAAGATTTGCTTCTACAATGGACTCAGTAAAATGTCTGAGTTGCATGCATTTATTTCATCGCAAATGTGCTGGTATTCCTATTGACGGCCGTGTATCAGGTAAATGGCAATGTAGCGGTTGTAAAACAAAACATGTATCTGTTACGCCTAGTTCGTGTAGCTCCGGTGGCACGGATACTGAGTTCGGCGACGCACAGCCCGGACCCAACGAGAGAGGGCACTGTGTAGACAAGGTTGACTTAGCAAACGAGTTAAAATTAATACGCGAGCAGTTAACTACTATTGCTCGTGAAATGGTATCTTTTCGCCAAGAAATTGCTAACATTAACTCCAATGTTAGTGAACTAAGCAACAAGGTCATCGACGTCGAGAAAAGGGTCACATATCTCGAGCAGCAGGCGATGGATATACCGAGCCAACCCGGAGGATCCAAAGTCGAAGAAAGCATAACAGAGTTAAAGTATCGACTTAATGAGCGGGATCAGGAATTGCTTTTAAACGACGTCGAGATATCTGGTGTAACAGAGCTTAAGGGTGAAAACCCCTTGCACCTCGTCACTTTGCTTGCCGCCAAAATAGGCGCTGAATTGGATGAGCGCGATGTAGTAAGCGCGAGACGTATAGGCATACGCCGCGAACAAATACCAGGCAGCACCGATAAGCCGAGGCCGCGTCCGTTGGTTGTCCGTCTCGCTCGTAGAGTGATACGCGACAAACTAATTCATGAAGCGCGTGTTCGGCGAGGTGCGGATACTGCTGGTTTGAACTTAAGTGCCGAGCCGCGCCGATTTTATGTTAATGAGCGGCTTACCTCAATTAACAGGCAACTGTTTTATAAGGCACGGGAAGAAGGACGGCGCAAAGGATGGAAATATGTTTGGACGCGAGACGGATGTATTTTTGCGCGTCGTGATTCTGGCTCACCGCGTCATAGAATTCGCACAGAAATGGACATAAATAATTTTTTTGCGGAATGAATAGTTTAGAGCGAGTCCTGATCTTCTTTTTGTTTTTATTTCTTGCAAGATGTTTGTTTGGGTGCAGTTCAGATTTCCATCACATACATCTCTTTGTTGTAATTTTTCGTACGCATCTATATTATAGCTATTACAAGAACATTTTATTTTTGTTTAGAGTACATTTTGCTTCCACTTTATTATTAAGCTACATAGAATTTTTATTAAGCTGTTGGGCTGCAAAGATTAGCGAAATATGGAGTAATTTTTTTCAATGTTATTTTGTAGTTAAACTTTTCGGGTTATTGCATTTATGTTTTGTTTTAGATCATAGTGAATATGATGACAGATTTTATATTTATACTTTAATGTGTAGCAGCATAAAGGGAATTTACGGACACGTATTGGGGCGTAAAATTTTCAGTAGTCAAATAAAATGTAAAGTTGTGTGTTTGTCAATATACATTGAGATATATTTAACCGTATATAAGCAGTGGTGTCAAAGTCTAATTTATCATGTTTACCTTTGGATTATTATTAATTTATATTGTTCACGTTTTATTTATATGAAAATGATTAAGTCGAATAAGTTAAAAATTGGCTTCTTAAACCCTGGCTCTCTCGGTACTGGACACGACGAGTTCATAGCTGCTATGGCATATCACTCGGTAGACATTATGGCCATCAACGAAACATGGCTTCGGGCAGGGGAGGAGGGGCGAGCGCCTTGCGTGGGTGGGGTATCGACTGCGACACGTTCCCCGGCCTCCCGAGGTTCGTGCGCGCGGGTGGGGGTGTGGGTTTTTATCTGATTATCATCACGAAATATTCAGCATCCGAGTTGTCCCACGGTGGAGCAAATGTGGTTAAATATTAAAATTAACGGTAAGTCCCTTATTTTCGGTACTGCTTATCGCCCCCCCTGGTTAAGCGTGTCATTGTTCCTGGACGCGCTG